CTTACAGATCATTTCTCTTCAGTGCTCCTTGTTGAGTGGTGAAGGAGCTGTAGCATAGAACTGAGAAGAGAGATGGAACTTCTAAGGGGCAAATCTTTGGGCAAATGTACAGAATACGCTACAAGAAAATAATTTTACTGCAAAGTCAACAAGAGGGCATACAGTAGCAATGGCTAGGTGACAAATGGAAAAAATGGTTTGTTTAAATTTATGCATAGGTATCTATCGGACTTCCAAAAGCTTTAGCTTAATGCTTGTACAGGAATGCCGTAAAGTCTACCTATCATGAAATATAAAACATTTCTAAAGTGGCCCTTTTCTCAAGTGGCCCTTCTACTATGAAAATGTGGCTTCTTCATTTACTGATTTCTTACTTTCATTCACCAGAGGTCTGATTGAAACCCACTGACTTCACAACGATTGAAGGATCAGGTTTTTTAGTGAAGTACTAAGCATTTCCAGCTCCAAATGCAGAGGCAAGGCACTTGCAAACATTTCTACCTTTTCTCAAGTGGCCCTTCTACTATGAAAATGTGGCTTCTTCATTTACCATTTACTTACTTTCATTCACCAGAGGTCTGATTGAAACCCCATGAAATATAAAACATTTCTAAAGTGGCCCTTTTCTCAAGTGGCCCTTCTACTATGAAAATGTGGCTTCTTCATTTACTGATTTCTTACTTTCATTCACCAGAGGTCTGATTGAAACCCACTGACTTCACAACGATTGAAGATCAGGTTTATTTAGTGAAGTACTAAGCATTTCCAGCTCCAAATGCAGAGGCAAGGCACTTGCAAACATTTAGTACCGTAGGGGGTCAGATTAGACTGTGAACAAACTTTAATTAAAATGCACTTTTCAGACAATGAAACCATGAAAAGTTTTACTGCTTTTCCATTTTAAAATACACATACTGCGTCAGCCTGTTTCTGCTACATTCAACAGACGCAGCACATGGAACAGCAGAGTGCTGCAGCACTATTCATTCTCAAAATTTTAAGTCCAAAAGCTGTCACCCTCGTTACATGCATAGAGGCATAAACCTTGTTGGTTTTGCCAACTCTTAATACCTGTATTTACCCCACGTGCAACTGCTTAAAGATGCAAGCTTAGAAACTATGATTTAACTGTGAAATGATTCCAAATCTTTTGTTTGGAGGCATTACACTGAGGTGCAGTTTTGTCTGATCAATTCAGCAGGTGAAGACGAGCTTTCTTAGCCACGTCTCTTGTTTCTTATATTATGAATAAAGATACCAGTGTTTCACTGAGACGCTTAGAAGCGTGTTCCACCATGCATTTTAATAACATTCTAGATCAGAGGTTAAATGAAATATGCTATTTGAAATAAAGCTGAATTGTAGAGTGGGAAAAAATGTGAGATTTGCCAGACACTGCAGAATTAGACATTGAAGAAAAAAACTATTGATCACTTCAGGTGAAAGTATTCGCAAAGTGGAAGCCAGTAGATCAGCTGAAATTTGTTTCCATCTTGACGTACAGAATTCTCCACAACTGTGGGAATAAGAAGTGCCGGTCACTCGTTTAACATGTGAACACCTTAAAAAGTATAGTAATTATCAGGGAGGGAGTAGGACAAATACTGCATATTCCAGTGCTAATGAGTTCTTTTTATGGCCTAATCACTAGGCATTCAAGAGGTTTTTCCTCTGAAAATTGAAATGTAAATTTTCATTTTGGATGTGTATTAGCTATTTGCATAGGTAAGACTTTCACTAGAAACTTACATGATTTCATGTTCTAGCTTAAAACATTTAAAAACAGAAATAGTATAAATGTATCATAAATGAATGTTAAAATAAACCCCAACTAATTATACCACGATGCATATATAACAAGAGTTTCTCATTGTTGCTATTATTTTTTACCATCCTAATTTTCTCTTTTTCCCCTTAAGTTAAGCTGTTCTTCCCTACCATATTGAGGAAAATAAAAAATTTCGACATACTTGGAAGCCAAAGGCTCATTCATAGTATTCATTAAGCAGTAAGTAGTCAAAGAAGCTTATTAACTCTATTAATGTTAATTTTAAAAAAGTAATTACTTTTACTTGTGGAAAATCCTGCCATTTTGCACCTGCAATTGAGTGCAAGCAATTGAGTGCACGCAAAGTATGCAGTCCAGTAAAGTACCTAAGTTAGGTTTTGTTCATTCATATTGTCACAAAATCTTGTCCTGAAAAAGCAAGACAACCCCAGAGGTTTGTATTTTGAAAGCTGCTTCCCTTGCCAAATGAGCAAAAATCGCAAACAAACATTCACACTTTTTTTTGCTTCCTGGCACAGCACATTTGATTTGCTCACAAGGCTGCTGAACAGTTTCACAACACGCAAGAGAGAGCTTGGTCATCTCTATAGGAACAAATACAAGTTGTCTAATCAGATGATCAAGTCTCAAAGCAAGTGAGATCAACCGAAGAGATCACACATCTGCCAAAACCCCAGTAATTAAAATGCTGTTGAGACTGGAGAATATTTTGGACATACCTGCTACCTGGTGTTTGGGAAACAACCTTATGTCCGAGAAGAACCTGAAATGGTCTTAAATCTGTACTCCCAGTAAGAAGCAAGCAAACACTGATGTATTTAATATGGATTAAATGCATAAGCAGCAAAAGTGTCTTTAGGTTGGTGTTATTACCAGCATCTGTCTAGAAAGAAAAGGAACAGAGTGACTTAACGTTCCTACCAGTTCCATCTACTAACCACAAAAATTCTCAAGTAAATCTTTGAATTAAGTGTATTTACACATCTCCTGTCAGATAATGGCACTTTTGATGAGAAACCTCCCGGACACAGCCTTATACAACTTCACAGTCTAACTGTAAACTACAGCGTGCCAAACCCAAAGGCAAAGGAAAGAAGCGAGCTATTATGAGACGGAGCTAGGTAAAAAAAGGACTAGCGATAAATAATACTGGGCGGTCAGTGAGTAAGCAGTCAGTGTTTGAAATTACTGTGATGACGATTAATGTGTCTTAGCTAAAACACTTAAATCCCCCAAGTCTTTATAGTGGAAGCAGCAATGACACTAACTACCAGTTTTGCATGTTTGATGCCTGAAGTAAACATTCCTCATTGGTAAGATTGATCACAGTAAGCATGTAAACGGAGATAAACCGTGTTTTATCTTTACTTACCAAAGGGTTACTTCAGGTGGAGCCTAAAGGTTCAGTGTAGGCAATTGGACAAACTACTGTGCAATTCGGTGGCATCAAACTGTACCTATAGCACGACGAGGGATTTTTTGTTTTCCCCTCCTTTGCAAAGCAAATTTCAATACATCTGTGTTTCACAACTGTAACTCAGGATGAAACCACAGTCTAAAGTCAGTCTCAGCAATATAAATAGCTGGCATTTAAGTTAGCACCCCTGGCAAGCACAAACTGTAACTATTTGTCTGGAATCACATCTTTGCAGGGCTGCCAAAAATAAAGCAGAGTGTAGTGCTTGGGTTTTTCTTTTTCTTCAAGGCAATGGAGGTCAAACGCAACTGTGTCCCTAGGTGCCCCACTCTATTTCAGTTCTAGTAACTTTGAAAACGATACGCACTAGAAGGTCAACACTGTATTGTACATTTACTGTGTACACATGCTATCTCAGGTGCTTGCATCAACAACTCTTTTAATGGCAGAACACGTAGGTCCAAACATAACCTATCTATTAATTGAGAACCATGCAGCTGCACGTAGAGAAGGTAGCTATAGGTTTTCTTGTCAAATGCAGGGAGGTGGGGTTTTTTCACATTTATTCTCAAGCCAAAATCCTAAACCGCTTAATTCTCATGAACTTTTTCCAGAAGTTAATTACTGCCTAATACAGGGCTCAATTGCTTTCTCAGCATCTGAAGAAAGTATTTTCTAATGAAAACACAGACGATAATAAGGAACTTCGTAAACCAGAAGATATTCTTCCTGTTTTCTATCAACAGTAACTGCTCAGCACAGACAGATGTTAGCACTATTTTCTTGCCTTAGTGTTGACGGGGGAACCTAATGACTCTTGTATGATCTTTACAGAGAGCACAAAGGAGAAGAAAAAAAAATACAGAAAGTTGAAAGAAAAACCGGGGGGGAAAAAAAACGCTAACCACAAACAAAAATTACATCACTGGTCTAGCATGTTGATGGCTACTAACAGTGGAGCTAGGGTCACTGCTTCTGTGAAGTTGAATACTAGACTGGTTATTGGATGTTACCAAAAATGTAAACAAAAAGAATACTTTAGGCTCTTACGAAAACGTTGGATTCAAAAGGTACCACTCCATTCTTTTTTGGTCTGTTCAAGCCTGTTGCAGCAGCTCTGTTCTTGTTAGTCACAGCTCTTGCAGAACCTATTTAATATTCCATCTGAGTTACTCCACGTTAGTATTAACTGACAAATATGAAGATAATGATGTTGAATACAACCTAGTATCACCAAAACTGTGCTTTCCATTCCCATTTTTGTTTCAGCATGCACAAATGGACCTTAAAAACCTCCTTGGGAAATGGAATAGATCTACAAGAAGCAAATACATGTGGAAGGACTCACTTCATGCTAATCCCATTACATTTTTCCTTAAAAATCTGCTGATGATCGTCAAAGACAAGGAAGCAGCCAAATAAACACTTTGAATAATAAGGTATCATAAAAGAAAATTGTATGAGTATTTTTTTAACTTTTCACTGAAAAGCGTTCTTTCACCCTTAAAATGCGTAATATACTGTGGCCCACGCAAGTTGTCTTTTCAAGGCACAGCTCTGAAAATGGCACGTTCTACTGTACTGAAATTGCCTAGCACATTCTTCTTCAGCTACTGCTTAAAAGGAAATTGGCTACTGAATCAATAAACCAAACCAGTTAGGTAGCCAGAAAAATCTGGATAGTCTGCAGTGCTAGGAAGGATCTGTGCGGACACCACTGCTACAAGCTGTTCCTCAACCTGTGTGTATATATATAATACCATAAACTATACATGCCAAGTTTTAAGTTATTTTTCTTAATGAAAAACTTAAGTCTACGTATTGAGTGTTGAAACTGTTTCAGTTCTGAATCTTTACCAAGCCACGGTAAAAGCCAATCATCAATTGTTTCAAATATGAAGAAATTAGCGCATGGTTCTCAAAGCACTGATAATACTGTTTTCTGTGGGAGAGGGGATGCGGGATGTTTGATTCCCTAGCAGAGTTTACTGCAACACGGTATCTTGAAACAGCAGAAAAGATGCCCAAGCCTTTTCAAAACCTGAGGCAGCGCCCTCTCTATCAGGATCTTTTACCTCTACAAAAGAAAAAAGAAAAAAGAAAAAAAAAGTGTTACAGGCAAAAGATCACGTACTGATTTTTCAGAGGGAACACTTGCTAGTTACTTAAGAATAAATGCAGTACAGTACAAATATTAAACAAACTTCTACAAAACAGGACCGGAATAATTTCCTGCTTCTGAGCATAACTTGTGTAATTGATGCATTTCTATGTGTTAAAGCAGACGTGGGGCTAGTAACTCTTATCTGTAGATATACAAGTTATTTAAAATCCTGTTTTCAGAAAGTTTTTTCACTGTGCTGATAACAGCGAGACATGCAGAAATCACTGTAACCAGACTTGAGGAACTTGCATACCATTATATTTCAACCTCTGCCTTAAATCAGGGTATGCTATTTACAATTGTTCTTGAAGCCCACAACTGGACAGAGACAAAAAAAAAAAAGCGTATTTTATTTTCAGCTTTAAAGACGCATCTCTAAACAATCAGTAGAAAAAACAAGTAAAAAAAAAAGTAAACATCAGCATTTTGTAAAATCACACTGAACTAATACAAGACTTAATACAAAGTTTTTATGCACCGCTCAAATGCAGTTTAAAAAAAAAAAATAGTAGTCTGGTCTCCAAGACCCCTTCTACTTGAAATAAATCATTAAGTACCCACAGATTTTAGTATCCCAAACAAGGATACTTTCTTTCCTTTTTCTGCCATTAATGAAGTCGATTGCCACCTACTTCAATCATTTGCAAGCGAAATTCACATAGTCTCAGTTACAGAATTCAAGAGAACACATACAATTCCATGATTAAAGTCCTTCCGTTTTCAGTATAGGTTCTTTATCAAGTCAACACTCGTCACATATCTTTAGACTGATCATCTTCTTCAAGTTTTCTGATTTCATTCTTTAAACAGTTGATGGTTTCACGACTTGCTTTTAGTCTTTCTTTAAGCTCAGCAATTTCAAAACTAGTTTTCTTTTTGGCAGCTTCCAGCTTTTCCCTGGTTTTCACTTCAAGATCTGCAACTGTGGTGGTGATAAAGAGAAATAAATATTGTAAGTAACATGAAAAGTTGTAATTTTTTTTTTTTTCAGTTGCAACAGTAATTTGGATGGTGTGTGTCCTGAAAAAAACCTATTACTGTTAGCCTTAGAGATTCAATAATTGTAGCCAAAATGGTATCCAAAAAAACCCCTGGAATTAAAAAAAAAAACAAACAAACAAGCTTGTTTTGTGGCCTCATTCAGCCCATCGGTTTTGTGGACAGAGTTATATAATTCACTATATCGTTTTCTAGAGGTTTTTAAAGATTAAGTGGGGGGAAAAAACACTGACATGGTGACAGCAAATAAATGGGAGATTACAGAGAATTAGAAATAATTTATACGCGGTGCCCAGTGACAGCACGTGAGGCCATGGGCACAAACTGAAACACAGGAGGTTCGCTCTGAACATCAGGAAACGTTTTTTTACTGCGAGGGTGACCGAGCACTGGCACAGGTTGCCCGGGGAGGTTGTGGACTCTCCATCCTTGGAGACATTCAAAAGCCGTCTGGAGATGGTCCTGGGCAACCTGCTGTAGGTGGCCCTGCTTGGGCAGGGGGTTGGACCAGATGACCTCCAGAGATGCCTGTGCACCTCAACCATTCCGTGGTTCCTTTTCCATGTACTGTAACCACTTTCTACTCTCTCTCTCACTGGAGTTTAATTCTATGTAGCTAAAAAGATTTAGCGGTGCTGCCTTTGCTTTTACAAATATCTGACATTAGGACATCTCCATCTCGTTTACTGAGGTGTCCTAATTTTTTTTTTTTTTTTTTTAATTTCTTCATGCACAAGTTTTTGGACAAAGCTGGTAAAACAAAGGAAAATCTATGGAGGCCATGGATATCCCTTCATATCCCATACATTACAGAACTGTTAGCAGTGGCAACAAAAAAAAAAAAAAAAAACACCAAAAAAAGAACCCACTAAAAATTTCTATCTACGCTCAGGAGAAACATCCAGAAATTTGAAGTGAGAAAAGTTTAAATTTGGACAAGACTTTTTTCATGATTCAAATTATTAAACATTTTCTACACGTAAACCATAACACGTGTCCACAGCTCACATGTCCACACGCCCAAACAGACAGAAGGCAAATCAGACCCCTAACTTTGTAGAGCTTCAAACTCATAACCGCTCTTAGCTCTAGGTGTTTAGTGCTCAAAAATACCTGACATTTGTTGTCAGGGGAACACGCAGATACGCCAAAGGCCAGGTGAGCCAGACTACAGTGGCATTAGAGTTTGTAACTAACAAGGTAGGATTTGGGCTCAATAAATACTACGTTTGTTTTCTGAGAATAGAAGATAAGAGATGAAATTCAGAAGATGAGAACAGAAACCATCAATAAATGCATTATATTTTATGAATCAATGTATTTTCATTTAATTTCTTTAATTCCCTTAATATTCTGGTTTATATTTAAAAGACAGATTAGATCAGAAGGACGCAAAGAACATTAAGCTATAATGAAGAAGTATGTTATGAAATGACCTACAGTTACAGGATTAGACAGAAGGGAAAAAGACAGGAAGAGCTTTCAGACGCTACTCTTCATCCCGAAAGGGTTGCTGCTTTCACTAAAACAGTACTAACCGTTCCGTATTTCAGTGCTTGAAGTGTGATCTTTGCTTGCAGTTAACATCCCAATGAGCTGAACAGAACTGTACCGCTAATACAGTGGCCTTAATTAATTCTCTGTTTTAACTCATTTCAAAGATGTTAAACTAGGTGTAGATCATGCCATCGCTCTTCACACTGAGCAATTCACAATTGCTTTTTTTCCCAGCAGGCTTACAGATCAGAAAATCTTAAAGGTTTTCAAATAAGTATTAATATCTTTGCAAAGTTGAAGCTAATTTAATGCAAAAATATCACTTTTTAGCAGCATCCAAATCCATTGTACTGTTACAGCCCAGAAAAAACACTAAAGGCAAAACCAACTATTGTTTATTTATAAAATTAAAATATTTTAATTTTCAACTTACAAACTGTTTCATGCTTATAAGCACCTAGAGTTAGTTGACGAGACGTTGTTAACAGCTGCTGCATCATTGCAGTAGGATCTTGGAATATCTAATGAAGGAGAAGAGCACATGGTTATCACTAATACTCTTCAAAATAAGCGAGAACTACGTTAAAAATTTTCATACCATTCTGTCATAGAATTCAGAAACTACAGTTTTCTTTCCCAGGATGGCATTGGTATCAGACTGAAAAAGCTTCAGCAAGTGATACAAGGTTACCTATACAAAGACAGAATTTTATTAGCTTGACAAGTGTAGGGAAATACAAATCTTCTACATATCGGCAAGTAGTGTTTGTTCTTACTAAACAACTGTATAGGATTTAAAAATCTTTTAGGGATGCAAAACTAAATGTGATATAACTTCAGTAGCATTACTTGAATGTAATATTCAGCATTAAACACACCAACTGTCCAAAGGCTTCTCGATACTTTAAAAACGTCCGGGCAAGTGGTTTAGAATTGGTGTATAAAAACTACTAAGACCACCTTCTCGTAAACATTTCCGAATAGGTGATTTAGTTCAAGCCGGCTTTCCCAATTATTCCGTTAGAAAGTGCTTTCTGTGACCTTATCATCCCTTCTTGTGACGGAAAAACAACGGGGGGAGGGGGAGGCTCTGTAAATAGCTTTTCACTGAAGTTTCTCTCTGCGGAGTTACTCTTCCATTACTGCACTGCAAACGGCGGGAGCTGGAGAGGAACGGAAGCCCTCTCTCTGTCCAGCCCTGAGGAACCGCTGACCACGTGGATCGTGACCTGGGAAGGGGGCACACAGCCCACAGTTCTTCCCTCGCACGAACGGGCCCATGAATGGTCGTGGAAGGGAGCGATACCTTACTCTGGTTGGTACTTCCTGGAAAGGAAGAGCACGACAGGCACCGAAACAGCCTTCCAAGAACAGCGGCAAAGAAAAAACACCCAACCAACTTTAGGACAGCTTGGTCAAGCTGTGAATGAAATTAGTATGACAGGTCAGGGTGCTACCGAGCATGACAGCGCAGGAAGTCCTTTCTAGGCTCATATCAAGTCTCACGTATTCTAGAAAAACATAAAATTCAGTTCTCCCCTCATTTGGCAAAAAATGGCTAAAAGCAAAAGGATCGCTGTAGTTCATGCGACAGAAGGAACTCGGTCTTTCCAGAAATAAACACCCCCTTTCCCTAAAATACGGTAATTGAGTTTCCTACCTAAACCTGGATAAACAAACCCATAAGATACGTCTAAAGCACAGGATGGGAAGAAGGAAATTCGTTCCAACACTTTATTCAACCAGAGGAGTGTCTTAACCTGGTTTTCTTAAGAAAGAGACTAATGCTAGCTAGACCTTTGCTGCTTTTTGACTGATTTTGACCAAGTCTGATAGACCAAAAAAAAAAAAGATAATTAAAACATTCAAATCTCCTAGACCTAGGAAACTACACGGCAGAGAAATCCTCAGTATGTGCTCAACCCAGGTGAGGTGCAACACGGGGTCACGCATTAGTAAATGTCAGAGCAGCCAAGCGCAGGAAAAGCAGTCACGAATGCCAGCAGTAAAGCACAGAAACAGGAAAATGTGGCCAATCGTTGAATACATTTCCTACAAGAACAGGCTTCATTACTTCCATGGCTGATGGGACTCATTTCGACCAGCGATATACTACAGCGCAGCTTTAGGCCACCATAATTAATTAAGTGTTGTTAAAAGTTCAATGTACTTACAGGTCTTTCATTTGGATCAATGAAAAATATCTTAATGATGATCTCAAATTCACCCCAGCCCGTTTCGGTGATTTCATACGGTGGTTTGGTAACAACTGCAGCAGGAAACACAAGTGTTAATACGGGTGATAACGCCTCAGTGGAACTAATCAAAATCCCAGTTCTAGGAACAAATGCCCAAATGCAAAACCCACCTCTTAAAGGATTACCGTAGCTTTCATGCAACTTGAATTGAATTTTTTTCACGTAGGCAGACATATCCTAAAAGAGAAGCGTCGTTATTTCTCGTTATTTACACAGCACACCAAACTACCGTTTATTCATCCATCCCACACGCCTATCGTTTCTCCTGACGCAGCTACCGTTAAGAACAGCAGGAGAGCAAGACGGTAAGTCCAAGCATTAGCACTGCCACGCAGGTCTGTTGCCGTTTCGCCCCCATGAACGCCCTCCAGTTCTCCCCGGCCTAGAAGATCACTCCAAAAACGCCAGAGGAAAAGCGTCTTCCCCCTCTTTTTCCTTTGTGGAAGACCGCCAGCCTTCTGCCCTTCCCTCCAACCCCGGCTCCCCGCTGACAGCGCGCCGCTCGGCTCACAGCAGCGGGGGCTGAGGGGCTGCACCTCCCCACCCGCGCCCCCTTCCCCTCGCCGCGCTGTCTGTCCCCGACCCACCGCACGGCCGGCGGCCACCGGCGCGCCCACGCCCCACCTCGTTTCTGTAAGGCTTGACGTAAACCGTCCACTGGTGCGTGTGACCGTCTTCTTCTCTTTTCTTCCCAAAATACCGTGCCACGTTTCCATACACGATCGGCTTCACAATGGTAACGCCCTTAGAAAAACAACCAAAAATCA